CAATAGACAGAACTGGGAGGACGCGGTATGTGTAATCGTCATTAAAGTGTACGGGACAGTGAGCGTGACTTAAACACAGTCATTTACAGTTCATTTCAAAGAGTTAACATCGCCCTAAAATCTACTAACTGGGCACAAATCTGTCCAGTTGGCTTGCTAGCCAGCTAGCCTAGCGTTAGCTAACGCTAGCTGGTAGAAGCGTGGCTGCTGCCTTCGTAACATGTCTCTGCTAGCTACTGTGTAAACATCATTCATAAAATATCACAACATAATCGGAACAATTGTGGATTATAAGAGATCGGCCAGAGTTGACTCAAAACAAGAACTTTGTTAGTTTGACCGTAACATGTTTTGTGGTAATGCTAGTTAGCTAGCTGAGCTAATGTAGGCGACAACTAGCACCTTATGCTAATAATAATAAAACGACGTTTCCATAATTAACGTTCTCGCTAACAATTTAGCAAATTACATGTAACTGTATAGCCGGGTAAGGCGGAACCCAGACAATCCGATACTTACAAATGTGTTTGTCTGTTATTTTGGATTGGCTTAGCAATTGTAAACTATCATCTTAAAGCTAAAGCTTGGTACAGTTAGCTTAGCAGCTGCTAACTGGAGGGGACCAGATTCGCTTCCTTGACAGGTTACTTACTACCTACACAAAAAAACATAACTTTTTCGGGGTTACAAACGGTTCTATACAAAATGTTTCTCATATTTTAACTGCTGGATTCTGGTCAACTAATTGATAAAACCTGGCATGTAAACTAAATTGGAGATGTTCATGTACTATGTGGTGCATCAAGCATCCCAAGGTCTTTATCCCTACTAGATAAGGCAGCAAATCAATTTGCTCTCTTTAGCCAAATAAACAGGGCATTTGGCCAATGTTGGTTTAATTAAGACACCAGAATATAAAGTGTGCAACCCTAGCCTGTGTAGTTGACTCTTGAGACACAAAAGCTGCTTATATTTGGGTGTTTGGCTGCTTCTCTCATGGTGGCTTAGGGCATGGTCCTTTTCAACAGCTAGCTAGCACTTGGATTGAAACAGCATCCTTCAACAGATGGTAAAGTTGAAGTGAGTCCACTTGCCCTGATTTCACCATAGGTTTCTCGTGCAACATTGCTAAGGTTACTACAGCAGTAAGTGAAACAGCGTATGTTTCTGTTTTAGAACAATTACAACAAGGGACTGCTAGATGAATAACATAAATGGTGCTTGTTATTTTAAATGGACTAAATAGAGATCTGTTTGTCTCTTGTTTTTCAGGATTTTCCAATTCTGTGTCAGACATGTTTAGGAGAAAACCCATATATCCGCATGGTGAGTTTTCATTACTTTGTATCATCATCCTTTGTAGTGTTGATACCTGTGTTTTGCTGGTTCAAGTGTTAATGCTTTGTTTTACAGACCAAGGAGAAGTATGGGAAAGAGTGCAAGGTAGGTTTTCCCGTAGTATTTTTAATATTGGTTCTATGATACACTTAACACTCAATACTTTGTTGCATGTAAGAATTTAAATACATGTATTAAACTAATTTTTTCATTCTATGCCCGTTAGATTTGTGCTCGTCCATTCACTGTGTTCCGATGGTGCCCGGGGACACGGATGCGTTTTAAGAAGACTGAGGTCTGTCAGACCTGCAGTAAAATGAAGAATGTTTGTCAAACATGTCTGCTGGACCTCGAGTTTGGTGAGTCTCATGTAATTCCTTACTTGACCTGTTTATATTTTGTATTACTTGGTTAAGATTGTTGCTATATGAGATTAACCCTCTTGTCGCACCTTGTGTTTTACAGGTTTGCCTATTCAGGTCAGAGACACCGGGCTGTCAGTTAAAGACGAGGTTCCTAAGTCGGATGTTAACAAAGAGTACTACACACAGAACATGGAGAGAGAGGTATAATTGCTGTGCAATGCAGACAAAAACATCTTTGTTGTTCTATTTATTCTGATTTCCATAAAGCAACAATGGCTAAAACTCAGCTGCTAGGCTGTCCCCAATTTCAAATATCTAAACAATAGGTATCGCCTAAGTCTGGTTCCTTTTTATAAATATTATTTGTAGTATACACTTTTAGGGTTTTTACATTTTTATTTCCACATTTGGGGATGGAATTTATTTTTGTAATTGATCAATAATGTCTACTTGAACTTCTGTGTTCTTAGATAGCCAATTCTGATGGCACACGGCCAGTGGGCCAGCTGGGTAAAGCGCCCAGCTCTAGTGACATGTTGCTGAAACTGGCCAGGACCACGCCATACTACAAGAGGAACAGACCGCACATCTGCTCCTTCTGGGTGAAAGGAGAGTGTAAGAGAGGGGAGGAATGTCCCTACAGGTCAGTGATACTTCAAAAAAAAATTCTTATCTTAATTCATATTTATGTATGAGATTCAACATACATTTATTAGTACTTATTACAATAGGCAACATTGAAAACAAATATTCTCATGGTTAACTGTAACTTTCTTAGATATTGTTGTTGTAGTTTTCTCATTCTGGTTGTCCTTTCCACAAAGACACGAGAAGCCCACCGATCCTGATGATCCTCTTGCCGACCAGAACATCAAGGACCGTTACTACGGCATCAATGACCCGGTGGCTGACAAGCTGCTGAAACGGGCCTCAACTATGCCGCGTCTTGACCCACCAGACGACAAGTCCATCTCCACCCTCTACATTGGAGGATTGGGAGACACTGTCACTGATGGAGATCTCAAGTAAGGGTTTCTTACTTGTAACAACTATCAAAACCCCCTGTGACAATTTGTGTTCACTAATGTTGCACATAAAGTAGTGATGTTGTTTTATAGGGACTTTATCTTGTTAAACCTTCTTACTTCCAGTGTTTTTTTAATCTTTTGTACATTCATTTTTGTTGGTGTATTGCAGGAGTCACTTCTACCAGTTTGGAGAGATCCGCACCATCACCATAGTCCAGAGGCAGCAGTGTGCCTTCATCCAGTTTGCCACTCGGCAGTCAGCTGAAATGGCTGCTGAGAAGTCCTTCAACAAACTCATCATTAATGGACGGAGGCTCACTGTCAAGTGGGGAAGGTAAGAAGCTAATAATGAAGGATGAAAGTGAAGCGTCGGGGTGGCCATCGCCAACTCGACCCCCAGGCGCTTAATCCACGCTCATCCTTTCTATGGATGCAACCCTAAAAGCTCCTTCCGCCATCCAATTTTTAGCTCTCGTTAGCACATTAAGGTGTTCAGAGAAAATGTGTTATTGAAAGTAACAGCCTAATAAAGCTACCATCATAATTGAGGCCAAACTTCTCTCTGTAGCGGTTAAAAGAAAAATATTACAGACACAGTAAGAGCTTCAACACGGCAAATAATTTGTGCTGGGCCGGTCATTTAGAAGTTTTCTATATAATTCTGCTGCTGCACACCATTCAGTACTGTCAAACTAAGTGATCTGTTTAAATGTTTGAGTGTATGTGTTTATATAAATGTGTATTGTGTTTTTAGGTCTCAGGCAGCAAGAGGGAAGGAGGGTATCAAAGAAGGTGTCAGTGAGATGGGCACCAGACTTGATCCTGTACCTGGACTGCCTGGAGGTGAGTGTGCTAACACAGGGACAGCTGGTGTGTGTGTGTGTGTGTGTGTGTGTGTGTGTGTGTGTGGTGTGTGTGTGTGTGTGTGTGTGTGTGTGTGGTGTGTGTGTGTGTGTGTGTGTGTGTGTGTGTGTGTGTGTGTGTGTGTGTGTGTGTGTGTGTGTGTGTGTGTGTGTGTGTGTGTGGTGTGTGTGTGTGTGTGTGTTGTGTGTGTGTGTGGTGTGTGTGTGTGTGTGTGTGTGTGTGTGTGAGATGTAGTCATGCCAGTGCGGTTTTCAATATGCCTCTAATGTGTACATTGTGTCATTAGTTGTTTATTCATTTTCTTCTACATTGTTATCCACTGATTGATAGTGCAGATTCAAATGGCTGAAATGTATTTATTTGTCATGTTTAATAATTTGTATTTATCTTTTGTGTTTTAGCTCTTCCTCCACCTCCAGCTTTAGACGAAGAAGCTCCTGCTAACTACTTCAACCTGGACCCTAGCAGCTCTCCTGCGGTCATGAACATCGCTCTGCCCCCCCCTCCAGGCATCAACCCGCCTCCTCCAGGTAAAATCCTCACCATGTCATAGATGCAGCTTATTTCCCATTCTTAGTTGTATTTGTCAAATATCAAATTGTTACACATTTCCCATAAACATAAACTTTTCATTTTTGTATTCCTGATCTGTTTTTATAGAATTACACAATACATTTTTGCAAAGCTGTTAACTCTATTGATATAATGGAAATGACTTCAACACAGTGAGAAAGGGTAGATGCCCAATCCTCTAACTCTTTGTCTTTTCATCTGTTCAATCAGGTTTTGGCCCTCCAATGTTTCACCCCATGAGTCACATGGCTCCACCTATGCCCCCCCCAATGAGCATGAGACCTCCTGGTCAAATCCACTACCCCTCCCAGGATCCTCAGCGCATGGGGGCCCACGCTGCACATGGCGCACGTCAAGGCGAATAGCCCCCCGAGTGACGCCGTACTGCCATTCTGTTCCCTACTTCAAACCTGGTCAGGTGCTTTCACTTCAGATGCTGTCAGCGGCCCTGAATCCTGCGGACTACTTCTGGCAGAAAACCTCGTCATGTCTTACCGGATAACATCAGATTTATTAGGCCACCTGCAGTGAAGTGAATGAACTGAACAAGCACCATCTGTGTCTAGAGAGAAGACAGCCAGGATATTCCAAGATGACTTTGTCTCTTCTCACAGTTAATAAGTACTCAAGCGGCATCAGCAGACTTCATACACCGGCCCCTGTGATCAGGGCCTACACAGGCTGTGTTGGAGCTGTTGTATATATTAAAATGTATACTTCTGTTTAATTAGTTTTTGTCACATCTTGCAACATGGAGTAGGATTCTGAGGAGCATTTTTAAAGCTGTTAATTTTCAGTAATTCTTTGTTTATTTGACACAATCTTAATATTCCACAGCATATTGACTTTGTTTATTGTAAGGCTTTCTTTTAAATGTTGTTTTCACTTGTCATTAAAATGAGGCCATTTTGACATTGATCATCTCAGAGTACTTATTTGTCAATAACACTTGCTTTATAGAATACAGAGAAGGGGTGAAGATGTAAAGTCACAGTCTGACAACTATCAGATGGAGTCTTGGGGGTGTGGAGAGGAGGATGTCGGGGGTTGACGTAGATGGATCAGATACTGCTAAGGACAACAAAAGGAAACCACTTCAGCCCGTGGCAGTATTGTCTGAGACGACTGGCAGCGAAGGGACAGCAGCCCTCTGAGTTTATCTCATCTAGTCAGACCTCTCAGCAGCAGCAAAGCTCTTTATTTATCATGCAGGAATGTTTTTCTCTCCCCTGTTGTGCCCGCTGATTAACGGGGATCCACTTTGTAGGAAGAGAGCAGCAAGCGGGGGTCAGTGCTTCAGTCTCTCAGCTGATGAGCTTCCTTCTCATAGTTCATTAGATTCAGGGTAGTAATCGGTTCCCCATCCCCTGGGGGCTCTGTTGAAGTTGGGCCGTCGGCACATGCGGTCCAGAGCGACGCCTGGCAGCTGCTGGGATTCCACGGCCTCAAATCTGATCACTGGGATCACCCTCTGGCTGACCATTGCACCCCCGAACGGCCTGGCAGATCTCAGAGACAAAGAGCAGAGTTGTTACTAAGCAGGATGAGTGCATTGTGTTTCATTTTCCTGGCAGGATATGACCCTAGGTATCATATGGCTCGGGCTTCTTCCCATAAAGGGGGTGGGGGGACTTTTTAAATGATACCCAGTCTGGTCATCGCTCTGATTCTAACTGCGGTTAACAGGAGGAAGCCACCCAGGATGTGCTACTGAAAGTGTGTTCAACCTTTTCTACTTGTGTAGCTGCTCTAACCATTAGAGTTCAGATTTAATTTTAACTTTATAATAATCTTAAGGGTGTAAACGGATCCCTCCGCAGGGTGTACAGTTCCTGACTGGCTGGCAGAAATCGAGTGATTGACAGCCTTAATTGACTTAAGTCTGAGTTTGTCTTTCATATTTTTGTCCATTACTCCATCTGTCCGGGTTTAAACTTTGTGCTGGTGTGATGCAATTCCTTGTGTGCTGTGAGAAAGGCGATTCCCTTTCGTGCGTAATCCGTTTTGCGGGGAAGGCATTTGAAGCTGGCAGCACCCTAGTGGATCACCTTTCAAGAACTGGTTTGAAAATAGCCATCATACAGCCACGCTCCAAGGAGGTGCAAGCCAGAGATTCATTTTCAAACTGTGGAAACATGGAGTGGAGCCGAGGGAAGAGATGATTGTGATGGATGACATGCTCAGGTCATGTGGGTCTATTTGAGGACGCCTGTGCTTCCAGCCGATAGGATCTAACTGTTCATACATTTTAGATTAGTGATGTGAGCAGTAGAACATGTGGGAAGGCAGATTTACCTGTTGAAGCACCTGTAGTCTGAAGGCTGAGGTTTTTGTGGGAGCTCTGGCAGCTGGGTGTAGATGGCGTTAAGAAGCGCTACGTTGTTTCCCAAAGCGTTGTGCCATGGGGAAGTGTAGGATTTGGGGATTACTGTTGTGTTGAACTTCTCATGAGGAACTCCCTTCAGAGGGCCAGAATATCCTGACAAACAGATCTGATGTCAGCGATAGTAAGATAGAACAATGGGTATAGAGAAAGCTGTCTTACTTTGATCTGGGTAATTCTATCTTCTATATCCAGTGTAGGCAGAAAAAGGCCCCATTTGTTTTGAGAAATTGACACTCCCTTGGTTTGAAACTAATTACAAAACCACAACAAAGCAAAAACAGATCTAATGCTCATTTAAAACTCTTTGATGCCACGCCTGTCAACAGTGGAGGCTACAGTAATTACATCTGAGTGAATCCCCGATAATATACAGAGCTCAGATCAGATGTCAGTCAGCTTATAAGCACTGCCTTCTGTCAGGACTAATAGAGAACAGCACTCGGCAAAGATGGGCACATAGGTGCTTTCTGCACACTGCCAAAAGGAAAACTAATTGAATTGCTCAATACATTTCTATATAAAAAGTGAACACTATCAAAGTTAGATACAGTGATCAGGTATGCCTTAGCATTTGGCTTTGCAGTGACTTTACCTGGAGCGAGGACGTCAGGACTGCCCTTCTTTGCTACAGTCTTCTGAAGGTTCATGACCAGGCTGTGCCTACCAGTGACCGAGAACGTTTGGTTCTCTTTCCCCCCCTGGGGCTCTTGAATGATCTGTGGGGGAGGGACAGCCTCTGCATAGACCTGGGACATGGGCATTCATTTAAAGTGAGATTTATGTTGACATTTTAAAATGAATTTGTCACATTTTCAACCACGATAGGGAAAAAATAAATATGAACGTTACAATTTTAAAGATACAAATGTATACATCTTATATAGGAACTAACATTTTAAAATGCATGTATGGTAAAGAAAGAAATGATACTAAATCATGTCAAATTTGTAAAAATGTAACTGTTCTCAGAGAAAGTCACAAAAACACACTTTACAAAGGGGCCTCTGATATAACATGAACATTCAGTTTACTCGGTTTCAAAGTGATACATCTTCCTGGGAAAACAGCTGTATAATGTCCTTTGTTGGCTCTAAAGGGAGATTTCCTGAATGATGTAATTCGTTTTTGAGACTTTTTAAAAGAAACAAGATCCTCTAGTAGCCTACTGTATTGTAGTAGAAACACAGGCACATCATCTTGGGTGTGTAGGTGGCTGACATGTCAGTGAACAGGAGTCGTGCGCTCTGTGCTTTCTCTCAGTTCCTTACATTGTTGGGGTTGTAAGCAACATTGGCAGCATTCTCCAGTGTGAACCTCTCGACCCTCTTCTGTCTCTCCTGAAACATGCGAGAGCCTCGATTAGATTCAAGGTTGAGCTCCTCCATCATCACATCCTTTGGGACGCTGATCTTCTTCCCGAGGTTCAGACCCCCTGGCACAACACGACAGATAAATACAGGTGTTATCAGTCATCAGTCTTTGTTTAATATCCATGTGTTTTTTTTTTATATAAATGACAGTATCACAGTAGTGGATCTACTTGGGTTTGTATTGTTGTGTGTTGCATGACATCAGGTTAGGTGGCTTTAACCCTGCGCAGACACATTGTGACATTTAGTTGTTAGTGCAAGGAAATTATAAAAGCAACCTACATACAAAGAGACGGATATTATCACAGACTTATAAGAACCTTTGGCAAATCATAATGTCTCTTCTGATCTTCTTGTCTCAGTTTAACAGCTGAAGGGTGCTGATGTAAGAAAGATGAACCGTGTGCAGCATCACTAAGTTGGTATCCGCTTTTGCTCAAGGTCTCTTCTCGTGTTATACCAAGGCAGAGTGTAGGGTCGGAAATAGCCTCGAGATGATGTCAAGGGGTGTGTAATGTTTGTTGTGGTCCAGGGTCGCATGGATAACTGGGCATACAAATAAAATGTTTTGATAGAAGACTCATGACTCACACATGTAAAGTGTCTGGAGAAGTCAGGGCAAGGGCCACCCTCGAGGAGCTGCCTTTGATCGGCCTGCGTAAAATCCAGCGGTGGGAAGTCACATTTAGCTGAGTTTAGGGGACTTGGTTTTAAAGCCTTGCTGGCGGACAGCAACCGGGATGGTCCCTTCTGTAATGTTTGGAGGATTTCAACAACACTCTGGCACTCTTGGGATTTGGACGTGCAGTGCTGGGCCCTCACGCTGTGGGCGAACATTCTTTGATGTTTGGTTCCATTACGACTGACAGCCTAAGCTTGTGCTCACACACTGTGGCATTTTTAATATGGGTGTAAATGCAAAGCAAGAGTATACCAATTTGTTTAAGATATGTTAACCAGTATGTAAAATAAACCATGCATCAGCTCATTTTTGATTATTATGTTAGATTGTGTATGTTAGTTATGTTATGTAAATAATTCTAATGTAATCAATTGTGTCTCCACATCCACACTTACCTCCTCTGGCCTCATTACACAGAGCCTTAGCCTGCATCATCCTCTGCTTAGTCATGTCATCCAAGCCTGACGGCATCATCATCGTCATCATATTCTTCCTCTGATCGACACACATGTTGCCATGTGAATAATGATTATTAAATATATGTGCATGTGCCATTGCAAATCGCTCTTTGTGTTAAATGGAAAAAGCAACAGAAAACACACTTTGTATAGCATCAAATTATATATTGGTACATTTTTGTCTTAACCATTTCAGCATCTTCTTCAACTTCATTAGTCTGGCAATGCCTGATTCTAAAATTGTAATTTTTATTATCCTACTTTTGTGAACTGGTTTTTCATTAATTTACTGCTTAACTCACAGATAACAATCCCAGTGCATCTTTTCCACCTTAAAGCTGTCACTCGAGTCTCATCGAAATTTAAAGTCTTATAAGTTACCTATTAACTGTTTGTGAAAGGACCTGGCAGTTTCTACACAGACGGTTAGCAGTGCCTTCTCTTGACCGTAGCACCTCAGTCCTTACCTGTGCTCCTGCCTCTCTGTGTGTCTCTGTCGGAGCTGCTCTGGATGGTCGTGTGTTTTCTCTCGAACTGCAGATGGGTTTGGGGTTTGATCCTCTCTGACTCACCAGGCAGAGAAAGAGCAGTCCCTATAAAACACATCCCGGGATGCCTCGGGTGCTTACCTCACCGGGTTATTTCAGTAGAGGGATAAGAGAGTGAGGATGGATGGAGGGAGTGTTTAGGGAGGGGGTGAAATAGGGCGATTATGGGGAAGGGGCAAGTATAAAGATTTACATCCTGACTTCAAGCTTCTGTGATAATGCAAATCTGATCCCCTGGGTGTGTGTGTGTGTGAGTGTGTGTGTTTGTGTGTGTGAGTGATAACAGCTGCTGTCCAGGCAGTGACACTGAGCTCTTAGAAAAGCCAAGCATCCACACTCTTCACTTTAAGCATATACACACACACACACACACACACACACACACGCACCATTTATATCTCTCTTCTCTAAAGCACTGTGTAACTGCTCTGCCACATGTACCAACACGTCGCCATGTGTTTGCAACAAAATGTTATGGGAGCTGCTCTAAAATTGATGAGGTCACTGCGATCACAGGATGTGATTCAGTTTAGCACTTTGGGGTCAAAGGTTAAACTTTGTGGCAGTTTGCTCTTCTATTTTTGATGGTCTGAGACCTTTGACGTCCTTTTCTTAAACACTGCTGTGAGTTTTGGACATTCTACACATCTCTGTTATTCAGCAGTGCAATGGATGGTCATACAAAACACAGTGTGTTTGCTATTTTGTTTTCTTGAATCCTTGGCCTACCAACAGCCTACCAAGCTGAAGTTGTGAATTCTGTATAAACTCACATTTTGTGTTGCACTAGAATTGATGCCCTTTAACTTTATATTTGGCCTTTTTGAACTCGAGTAAGTCTTTATAGAGTAGCTTTCCCCCCATATAGTGATTCATTGAGCTCAGCAGGAGCCTGTAGGGGAAAAAAACATTTTCCTTATCTCTGTTGAGATTGGATATCGATTTAACACCTGCCCTGCTCCACAACACTACTATCCACCCCCCACCCAGTGGGAAGCCTCCCGGCCTTAGAAAGAACATGTGGAGTCATCCTGAGTCACAGAACATCATCTGCAGACACACAATGGAACATTAAATTGTTGCTGCCCAAAAAGAGTGTTTGCTTAGTAGAATAAGAGAGACCTCTTTGTAAAACAAAACCACTGTAGATTAGAAGCTTCCTTTAATATATAACATTTCAGCTTTTGTGTTGCGCTGCATCACACTAAACCTCAGTGAGTAGTCATTCCCATGTTATTCAAATCTGTGTCTTATCTATCTTGTTAATTGATAATACATTACTAAAAAGTTTCTGAAGAAGGAATTAACAAGATGAACAAGTGTCATCTGTGTTTGAGAGGTTGGCCCCGCAGCGTGTTCGTGTCACCTAAGAGCACAGTCACCAGTTGCTGACAGCTGACACAAGAACAATAGAGACCCATTCATATTCAAGGCCTAGAGTGATCAGGGCACTTTTAAAACCGTTTGCACTGTTGGCCTTCAGATGAAACCTTGTCTGGCTAGCTAGTCTGAAAAAGTTTGAAACTCCACAGGTAGTGTTGAGAGCAAGAGAAAAGCCAACGCAGCACCTTACCGTGAATTGGCTTTTCAAAGCTTCACGCTTAAAGGAAAATGGATTAAAATTCAGCTTGCAGCACTGCAAAAGTAATCATTCTAAACTCTTTTTATTCGCTCGCAGGTGCCTTTCAGAGTACTGTTGGAAGTTAATCAGCCGGTGTGCCGTCTTGACATTTCTCAGTCAACCCAGAGAGACATAATGTACGGGCTGCTGTGTGAGAGTCTTCACGACTTCATCAAAGAGTCCTACGGAGATGATGTGTGGAAGCTGGTCAGAGAAAAAGCAGATGTCAGGTTACACTCGTTTGTCACCCACCAGGTACAGTTTCTGAAATGAATAGTATAACTCTGTATGTATGCACTGAATATTAATATATTTGGGAGCGCTTTGCTGTCAGTCTGCAACCTGTCTGCAGTTTGTGTCACTCTGCCTGCTTTTGTCCGATGTTTCATAGTCCTGATGTCGAAATGAAATATTTTATATGATAATGTCTATATGTGTGTTTTCAGGTGTATAGTGAGAGTGTGATTCCCCGTATTGCAATGGCAGCTAGTGGAGTGACAGGCACGCCCTACAATGAGCTGATGAACTCCTGGGGTGTCTACTTCTTGGGCTTTGTTGGGAAGTATGGCTATGACAGGATCCTCAAGGTGAACAAAATCAGAAATGTGTTGTCTTTTGGTAGATGTGTGAGGAAATTATTAAATACCCACTGAGCTCTTTATCCCTAAAACTTCTATTTTGCCAGAAGAAGTTTGTTTTAAAAGATATGCTTAGTCTTTCAATATATAATGCTGTCTAATTATTGAAGAATATGTAAGGCATGCACAGTCCACTCAGAAAACAATCTAAATCACAGCTGCAAAGTGCTAAATATCCTGACTTTTTGACAATGTATTGGTCAAGCTCCAAAATGCTCATTCTAAATTGGAAATGGTTTGTCATTAAGTGCAAGACAAAACACTCTGATGGCATCCTCAGGGCGTTATTTTCTTTAAAACGTTCTACAGGACCAGAGGACATTGTACAACAGTTTATACACGCTGAGTCATTCTCTCCATAAAGAGTAAACTGACATTGTCCTTGAAAAATGGTCTCTTTAAAAGTAGTATAATAAAAAAGGCGAGGCAACTATCTTATACATGACCTGCCACTCTTATGTCTGGTTCAGGTACTGGGCCGTCATGTACGTGACTTTGTCAATGGCCTTGATAATCTCCACGAGTATCTGCGCTTTAGCTACCCCAAGGTGCAGCCTCCAACCTTCTTCTGCCAGGAGGAGTCAGCCACTGGAGTCACCCTCCACTACAGGTCTGATGGGAGGAGGGTGGGGGGCGGGGGGGGGGGGGGGGGGGGGGTCTACAGACTATCAAGCATCAGTTATAACAATAGGAGACGAGAGCAAACAGAAAGAAAGATGTTTGATTTTTTTTTTGGACTGATTTTTAATTGACTTTCTCTGACTGGCAGGAGTAAGCGCAAAGGTTATCTGCACTACGCCATGGGTCAGCTGAGGCAGATGGGGAAACAGTTCTACGACACCGACATACATGTGGAGGTGCTGTCCGAGCAGATGTTAGGAGACTACTCCCATGTCACTATGAGGTACGCACACATTCAGCCAAACATACACGCACATACCCATCCACACACACACGCTATGCTGAATGGCCGATACTGGTACTAGTTACTTCTCAGAAACCTAAAGTTTGTACTCAGTAGTTAAAAGTAGCCACACCTGGGATAACCACTATAGTACAATTGATATATTAGTACTATCAATCTTATTATGAATATATAATAATACATCAGAGGGCCGATAATTATTTTCCTACAGAATGAATACTTTTACTTTTGAGTAACTATTTACTGATAAAACGTGTGCACTTTTACTCAAGCTATATGTATTGCTTGTAGCAGAGTATTTTCACTGTGTTGTGTTGATACCTTTACTTCAGAATACTCTCTCCTCCTCAGTTTGTACTTAACTTTCAATTCAAATTAAAAAACAAATGAATCTGAATGTGCACAGACTGAACTTTGATAACTCAGCCTACCGCTACATCATGAAGGAGGATGAGGAAGAGCAGGATATTTTGCCCATAGCCTCAGACTTCTTCTTTGAGGTTTTCCCCTTCAACATCGTCTTCAGACAGGTAAACCTTTTAAATTACATGCCTAAACTCAAAATGCAATGACGCAATAAATAAAAAATGTCTGCATCTCCTGGTTTCTTCAGGACATGGTGGTGCATAATGTTGGCTCAGGCCTGTCCACAGTCTTCCCTGATCTGGATGGGAAGAAGATCACTGATGCCTTCTTGCTGGCTCGCCCCCTGGTGGAGTTTACCTGGAACATGGTGAAGCATCACTTTACATTGTTTAACTGCAGCCTTCTGCAAATAAACAACACACATCAGCTTTATACAGGAAGTTGATGAGTGCTGATAATATTGACTTAATAATATTGTACACAGATCATCTCCCATCCCAACAACCTCTTTGAGATCATGTCCAAGGAGCCTGTGAAGAGAGAGAGGAACCTTCATAACCGAATACAGAGTAAGAGTTAGACCAGGGGTCTGCAACCTTTTTGACCAAAAGAGCCATTTGGCTCCTTTTTAAAACACATTTTTTTGTCTGGAGCCGCAAAACGTATTTCATAGCTTGATAGCTTATAAAGTTGTATTTATTGTTATATCAGACAGTGTTTTTGCATTTATTAGGCTATTTATTACATTATATAAAACTGTTAACCTCTAATAAGAAACAAAGAACTCCTATAAGGAGAATTACAAATAATACACAGGCCTATTTTAAAATAAATTAAACACAGCACTTGGGGAGTCCTCTGCACATTTGAATGAAAAAATATATAATTAAAATGTGCCCACTTTGAAATAAATAAAACATATAGCTGCACCCTAAAAAGAGTTAAAGGTAAGGTAGGTAAGAATGGAGAAACCAGCTCCAGTTATTTTAGCCGGGCCGGCTAAAATGATTGGTCGTGCTTTTTACAGTTGCTACGGCTTTCAGAGATACATTTTGTTATGTATTTATTGTCAAAGCATTTAATATATTCATTGCTATCGGGACGTTAAGAGCATTCCATGGAATATAACAAAAAGTGTTTTTTGAAATAAATTACATACCCCATTGAATTATGACTGAAGATCGTCAGCTGTCTTCCTCTCCCGTGTTGTTCCTCGATACGTAAAGGCTGCACCACCGTTGACAACTTCTCTCTACATATCAAACATACCGGTAAACCAGCATCGTTTGCTGTGAAAGCATATAACCAGGGCTGCACATAACTGGTGCGCAGGCGCACCCCCCGCCAAAAAAGAGCACCGGATCATTTGAAAAAAGGCGCATTGGCGCACCAACATTGAGAGAGAGAGAGAGAGAGAGAGAGAGAGAGAGAGAGAGAGAGAGAGAGAGAGAGAGAGAGAGAGAGATAGAGAGAGAGATATAGAGAGAGAGAGAGAGAGAGAGATAGAGATGAGAGAGAAAAGAGAGAGAGAAGAGAGAAAAG